CGATGCACTTGTTCCTAATAGCTTCTTGTTACTACAAACCATGGAGAGAATTTCTGTCGACTCAGTCGGATTTTTGTGGGAGGAAGTCCTTATAATTGACCCAACCCCGCTGCCATCCCGTGCTTGTTAAACGAAGCACCTGTTGGTCCTTCTCTTGGTGGATGTCCAAATGTCGTGGTGCGATTGGGTCCAAGGGATACCGCATCATTTACTTCACAAAATAGTTTTATTCAGGCCTGTTGTATGGGTTGTATGGGGTTGCATCAGGCGGCAGTATAGCAGCAAGGTCAGAAAAGGTAATGTGCTGGAATCTGCCAACCTCTCACTGCTGACCGCGGAAATATGTTTGCAGGCAGCTGGCACTAGGCCTATTGAATTAGCATCCGGACTCTCACTTCAGTCCTGAATGGTGAAGACCCAGGCTTGCGCGTCCACCTCTATGTGGGTGGTTTTAGAGCGAAGATTGTGCTGCTGCGAGGGGCTTTCGACTGAAGTCGCTATTCATCCCGACTCAATCATACTCAAAGGGAGCAAAAGACCCACAAAGAAGCTCCAAGAAGCTTGGGAATTACCACCATAAAAGATTTGTCGCTGTGCACAAGCCTTGGAAAACTAAGCCGACGCGCTCAGTTCAGAATCGACATCTCGTCAACCTGCGGTGTGTCGAAAGTCGAGACTTTCATTGCACCAGGTCTGCTGAGGCTCGGCAGCATCAAATCGAGGTTTGTCCTGACGAAACATCGGGTCGAGCCTCAAGACTTGCTGGAGAAAAAGCTGGACAAACTCCGAATGAAAACAATGACATGATCTGTCCGAGTCCTAGTGCATGGACTGGGCTCCTTATGCTCCTTTGACTTCCCGGAAAAACAGCCGTAGGCAAAGTGAGCCAAAATGAGCAAAACAAATGCCTTACTATTTCAGCTTTGCCTTTTGGCCTCCGAATTCAGACCCGCACTAGGTCCACCAGTCCCTGGTCCCACCGTCCTCGGTTCTTCCGACTGGCACGTCTCAAAGGAGGTCAGCCAAACGGATCTCCCAATGATTGCCAGGTCCCCCCTTGTGGCCCATTCGGGCCAGAGGAGCTGGAGCTGTAGCTTTGGGTATAGCCTGACATGAAGTGACCCCCAAAAATGAAAGAAAATGCAAAATAAATCTGCCACCAAACATGTCCAAAGCCTCTCAAGTTTCGGCTTGGAACTTCACAACCCTTCACCGCAACTCTATAACATTCTATAACTACCCGGCAAATGTTCCACAAACATGCCCCGCCTGCCATCGGCGCTTTCTGGCCAGGCATGGGGTCTGCCACGGCCGCGTGGGCAGCGGCAATCAAGCGGTTGGCTGGAGCCACCCCTCCGACACCCTCTGACTTTGACAAGTCGGGCTCGTCCCCGGTCCGCAGGGCGTTGCGGGGCAAGGACTGGGAACGGCCCTGGCATGGAGTCGCAGGGATATTGTAGTTGAGGAAGGTGTTCTGGACACTGATGCCCATGCCGTCCATCTGGTTTGGAGTCAACATTGGCCATTTAGGGAAGCCCGGCGTGTCTGGAGTGGGTGGCATCAAAGGATGTGGAGTGCTCTCAGGCACCATGCCCGGCACATGGTTGGGGGCCTCATCCGCCACCAAACCGATCTGGTGGCTCGATTCCCATCGGTCACGAAGGGATCGTGTTGGAGATGAAGGCCTCCAGCTTTGATGGGGTTGGACAGCTCGGCTTGGCGCCTCTGCCTCCACATCTTCCATTGACAACGGTTGAACGAAACGGGCACGGTCGCGCAAGGTGGGGCGATCGTTGGTTGGCTGGGGGGCCGGTGTAAAACTGCTTGGACTGGTAGCTGGGCTGTGGGTCTGCTGCTCGGCAAGCAGCAGCAATCGTCGTCGATGCAGCTGCAGCCCCTGCTGCTGCAACAGACAAATGAGGCTGAAGGCCAAAATTGCTATGGGGCACATGAGACACATTTGTCATGCGGCCTTGCACTGGAGCCGGGGCCACGGGTACTTGCATCAAAGGTTGCTGATGAGTGTGATATTGAAAGTGCTGGTTCGGGTTTGACTGGGGAGCTTTGAGATGAGCTTGGTTTGGCTGGCACGCGGGTGAAGGGCCCACAACATAACCATGACCCTGGAGCCGCACATGACCTGAGCAAAATGCATCCTCTCCTGCCCTGGCAACCAATGTTCTAAAGACTCATTCCTCAGTGCTCCTCGCACAAAATCCAAGATCCCCTCTCACCTTTCACCCAAACCGGCACCGCAACAAGACCTCCGAACCCCACTGAACACCACTGAACACCACCCAGTTGCCAGCCTCACAAAGAAAAAACAAAACCACCAAGAAAGAAAAACAAACAAGGCCAAATTGCTCAGATGCATGGTTTCAGCTCAGCGGCAAATGTCCTTCAACCTCGGATCCTGCAACAACTCCGAGAGCTTCGAATGCCCCAAGGCGGTCTCTGACAGCTCGGTGTGGTACCGCGAACGGAAAAGGCGCTTCACATTGGACAGGGGAATGGTACTCCTGAAAGGAGAAAGGTGTAAAGTTGGGAAACGCAGAAACACCAAGTGGCCGAAGGGAAAAGGTCTGAGTCTGGGTGTTGATTCTGTGCTTCGAATGCTGAGAAGGTCTTTGGGCTACCTACCAGCGGCTACTGGCGTGGCCTCCAACCTACTAGCGATGGCCTCCATTCTAATAGTGATGGCTGCCTACAGTCATTTTGCTGATCTTTGACTTATTTTCTTCGGCCAAGGATCGCTGTGGGGGCCAAACCCAGCAGGATCTCTTTGAGACCATTCTTCACCTGGGCAAACAAAATGTGTTTTGATCCCCTCACCCCAAACCGTGAGACTTGTTACACCAAAGAGTCCCTACCCTGAGAATCCAACAACAAATGCTGAACACTTGTCAGGCGACAAGTGTGTGCGACTTTCTGCTTGCAGCAGAAATGGAATGGTAGAAATGCCCTGTTTACTATTGCGTGGACTGGCACCCGTTTTATCTCCTGTTTTTTTCCAGTTTTTATATTGTTTTCTTCACCTGTTCCAGGAAGTCGAATGGCAAAGAATCAACCAGCCACACAAGACATGCACCAGCCGGAGTCTTCGGACGACAAAAAACGAACCTCAGTGCACCTCAATGGCTGGCAATTCTTGCCAAGTTCCCACTTTTCAGGAAGATCCTGGTATTCGACCCGTTGAGACTGGGTGCAGTCGGTTCCCCCCTTTCTTAAAGTATGAAGTAGATGAGCCTTGAAAAATTCATCAGCTGAAAGTTTTAGGTCCCATTGAAGCTCCAGAACCAGACAAGCTTGCACCACACAAGCAACAAATGCTACCATGAGGCCTTCTCCCAATCTGCCAGGTCAGAGCCGCTGCTTCCTGAGATCAAATCACTACCACCCCTTAAACCTGCAAAATGATTCTCGTGGTTTGGGAGACTGAAGTGAACAACTAGTGTCGGATGCCAAAAGTAGGATGTGAAGAATTGATTCTGTCTTCATCCTTTAGCACGGCATTCAGTCACTTCCAATTTGCAAGGAATCCGTTCGAGACTCCAAGTACCTTGGAAAATGGGTATATACAAATATCTGCCTTTACAGCAACAAGTCCCATGTTCTGGGCGGTGTTTTTCACTGGAAAGTCTTGTCTGTTTTGCAAGGCGTCGCGTGGTGTTGGTGCAGGGCCGCTGCTTCTCCGCACATCGTTCCTGGCATCGGGATTGGGCTGGTGGACTGGTCTGTCCACACTGGACCATGTCCGGTTCAGAGCTCCAACGAGTCTCCTCCAAAAATAAGAAAAAAACAGTCACTTGGGATGTTCAGTGGATGGCTCAGGACACCAACCGCTTGACACAACTTGGGCATTGCACTATTGCATTTGCTTCACTCTTGGACCATTTTATGCCTCCAAATCTCACTACAATGTCAGGCGTCCTATGATTGAGAGAAAATGGTTATATAAGGGTGCTTCCATAATATCTACAGGTAGCTCTTGCAAGTGAACCCTGTGCATACCTTAAAAAGCCAATCAAAAGCAACCTACATCTCGGCCGTGTCGGCGCCTTGATCATGGACTGGGAGCGCTTGTAGGGGACCACTGCGCCGTTCAAATAGCCGAGCAACTTCTTCTGCGAAATGGCCAACTGCACGATGTGACAAACCTGCCCGGGATTTTCATGTATCAAAGAGATTGCAACCAAAGGTCAAAAGAGAGTTTGTTGAAAGGTCTCATTGTATAAGAAGAGGTGATGAACGGTCAGACACTTTGAGTTCCAGTCTTAACAAACCACTAAACTCACTCGGGTCTCTTATTGGGACACTCGCGCCTGCCCGAGAGAACGTCCCTTCAAGAAATCCAATCCGCGCGACACCAGCGCTTGAGCACACGAGTACCTGCCACATGACTGAATGATGCCAGAAATCTGTTCGTAACTTGAATGCTGGGATGAGCATCGTCTTGAAACAGTCCAACCCCAGTTCTCCATCTATCGAAATCTATCAGGCTTTCCAAGGTGCAGTGCCAAACAAGAAAACTTGCAAACCAAACAACTCCTTTCCCCAACATTTCCCTGGTTCTCCGGAACTGTGTTCTCGGCTGGTCTCCATCCCCATCTTGCCCGTACTTGCCTCCCGCCAGGTAAGACCATATGAGCATCATCCAAGCTCTCGAAGTACATCTCGGCCGCTTGCCACATCTTCTGGGGATAGAAATCTTGGGGGCTGTAGACATCCACAAAGGAACTCATGCTGCGAGAGCACAGCAAAGCTGACCAGTCACCGCCCTCTTCAGCTTGGACATAAATCCAGGGGCAGGTATCACCTCGCCAACGGGCACCAAACATGGGAGAGACTCATCCTGGGGTCTTGATTGGTCACTAGCAAGCGCAGGGATATATTAGCATGCATGCCCTGGAACACCATATTCTGCAGACTTTCTGGAATCTCAGGATTCGTTTGAGTCTACACAGCCAAGGACACACCCTGCAGACCCAGTCACAAACACTCTTCAAACGTTTGATGTCAACGTCCAAGTTGGTAAAGCCCATTGATGCGGCTCTCTCTGCGAGACGCTTTCGCAAAATGCGGCCATAAGGTTTCAACTCATCCATGTACAAACTCTCCACTGCGTTGGTCACCTGCCGGTGTCATGACAGTTTCAGGCTGAAAAGGCTCTTGGTGCCAGGGAACTTGTTTAACATGTTGACTTGTGGCAATAAAAGTTAACATACAAAGTTTGAGTTTTAGTTGCAAACAGAGACTGAACCTCCCAAGTGGGCCTCATGCATGTCCAAGACGTTGTATGGCTGCGATTCTTTGTTTTGACGCCAGGGTTGCACTGGCTGGCACATCACCGGCTGAACATTCTGAGCCTGGACGTTTTGTCCCATTTGCATTTGGGAGTGCCCGGCCGCTGGCACAGAGGGCGTGCCACACGTGGTCGGCCAAGCTCTGCTGTAGCTCATGTCGCACATCAGAAGGGCTCCAAGTGTATCGTCACAAGTTCTTTTTGGAGCCAAAATGGCTCAAGAACCCATGGGTCATAGACAGCTTGCTACGGCTGCAAAAATGTCAATCATAATCATAGTTTTGCAAATCTCATGATACAAACAAAATCTTGAATTCCCACACATGTTTTTCAGTTCACATGATTTGGTAGTACAAAAGGATAGCCACAAGAAGCACTTGGACAGCAATGATGCCCCACACCAAAAAACATCTTGTTTCCTTTCAATCCTCTGAATGCAAATGCATATGCCTATGCCCCGGAGTTGAACTGGCAGCTGAGTGCGGCGCCCACTTTTCTAGTCTAGTTTGATGGTAAAAGGGCCTATGGTAGGCGGCAAAGTAGTGAACCATGGGATGGAATCAAATGTTCAACACCCCACCTCAGACATCCAAAGTGAAAACTGGAATGTCTGATCTGAACTGTCCATGGCGCAAGGCCTGCTGACTTCTTCTTCTGGTTCTGCCGATGGATCTTGATGTCTCATCCGGCGGTGGTATTGGACTCTTCTCCGGACAGATTCATTGGCTCTTGCGCTGATTGAATCTTCATGAAGTGGTTCTGGCACAACTCGTGTGGCTGAAGACGATGAAGCACTGCTGGCAACTGTGGCACCCCCGAAGCAAATGGTACATGGTGAATATTCTTTGGTCACTGAAGCTCTTTGGATGTACCCGCAAGTCAATGTATGATTTGCTGTTCCAAAGGATGGACACACAGCAATTCTCTCTGGAAACATCGACCTTTGTGAACGTGGGACCACTACTCTTTCGGCCAAATTGCACTGAACACCAACACTCGTTCCAGCAGTGTTCACCTTTGTTGAACACTTCCCAAACAACCATCCCAGCAAAAATGCGAGGCATAGCAAAAAGAGAAATGTGCCACACACACACAATCAGCATAAAATGATCTGGACTGCTCTCTTCCGAATTCTTTCTCGCTCCATCAGCTGCACTAAGCACACCTGAAACCATGCACACGTGAATCACCTTCTTGGCCAAAATCATATCCTTTGAATAATGACTCAAGCCAAAATGCTCGTTGCACCACAAAACCTTCAATGCTTCTTTCAGCTTCTCTCGAAATTGCTGGTTGTGGAACTCTTTCGACATTTCGTCTTTTCCAACCAACTCGTGTTCACGATGGCTGTCTACCACTCCCAACAAGCCCAAAAGAAACTGCAGCCTATTGATCTGCAATGCTTTGGTACCCAAATCACTTGGGTTGATGAATGTAGAAACTGGTCCAAGCTTGAACTGTTTTTCTGCAAGCTTTTGCTGAATCCACAAGTACTGCACATCGAGGTGTCTCCTTCGAGCTATTCCTCGCCCTGCCACAGAGTCACTGCGGAGATAAATGTCAACATGGTTCCTCAAAAGGAAAGAAAGGCACGGTCGCACGAAAAGGGCCTCGCCAGCACCTGTCACTGTCGCCATAAACTCGCTCTCTCCTGAACTCAAGGCTGGAGTTCTTGAGTCCGGGAATAGGAGTAAATCATGTTGCCATTGAACATGACAACGCCAGCGCTTGTGCTCTTTCGATGCACTTGTCCAGCCCAATCAGCATCTGTGTAGATCTCAATGATTGGGAATTCCTCCAACTCCTCTGACCCGTTCTTCAAACTCAACCATGTGGTTCCACTTTTGCGTGGATAGAGGTGTACGGCATAGCCACTTGTTTGAATCAAGTACTGACTGCACCTGACCAATCCCTTCCAAGCCAAAACAGTAGGTTTGCTCATATACGAAGACAACAGCTTTGCACCGAACTGAATGTCTGGGCGGTCACTGCTGATGTAAAGGATGATGCCCACTGCTTTTCGAAACGTCTCAGAACGGCTTGGATCAAGGCACTCTGTTGTGTCTTCCTTGCAAAGATCTGGATGAACTGGTGCCTTCAGCTTCTTCCCATATGGAGTCAGCTTTAACAACTTCTCCAATGCAAGAAAATGCTTCTCGCTTGGTTGTACTGCAATGCCTGACTCATTGAATTGAAGTGACTTCTTCAAAAACTGACACACGTCACCAGGCTGCGAATAAGGTGCTTGCACCTCCATAGTGAACTCTTCTTGCAAAGCCTTGATGAGTTGCGTCCCTTGCTCGCGTGGTCCAACAAACTGTAGGTCGTCCACATGCATGGACAACAATCCATGCTCCTGCCTGAGCAAGCATGGACATGCAGGACAGGTCTCAAAGCCATGCTTCTGAAAAATGTTCACTGCCTATTTCCACCACTCCTGAGCTGCAACACGTTGGCCTGGTAGAAGTCGACCAAGACGCCATTTCATTCCTGGATTCTCCTGACTCCAAATCTTCGGTGGTTCAACGTACACCAACGAAGGCTGAGGAACCAAGAGATATGCATTCTTCACATCAATTGCCCACATGCTCCACTGCTTTTCCAAACAAATGCTACTGAGCATCTTGGCGCAAGCAACACCGGATGCTGGACTGTAGAACTCATCACGCCATGGCTCAAGCCATTTGAACTCCCTTCAAACAAACCAAAACCTCCGTTTCCAACAACCATTCCTCCAGCGCCAATCTCGCACATATCTGGTGGACACGAAGGGTTGTCCAACTGTCTCTAACTCGGGAACAGGGGTGAGCACATTGCTGTTCATGAGGTTCTGGATCTCCTCATAGTCACCCTGTAGCTCCAATGCCTCCATGTCTTCAGCACTGAGCTCTGGTGGGTTCTCCCCTC